TTTCTCCTCCAACGGCTGTGTCTGGGACTCACTTTGTAGTTCCCATATTCCTGGTACCCACAGTAGGATACATTTCCAGAGAGTCTCAGAAATGGCTCTGATTGTCTTTTAAGAAACATTTGCAGGAACAGCACCATGCCAAAATTTCCACCATGCAGCTATTTCTTTGGCATATGGTGCTTCCATGAGGCATGGCACCCCACCCTCTTCCTACACCCCTCCCCCCACATCCCCAGCTGAGGAACTCCTTCTCCAGGTATAGACACACAGACGTTGGGTCCCAGGACAGAGCTTTTCAACGGTGGAGGATTGATCGAAACGGCATGGATTTAGGAAGCCGGCTTCTGAGTGTCTGGCCGGAGACAGTTACCCAGTGGAGATGGGGTAACCGATGAAGCTTTTATTCATCTGCTTACTACTGGGTTTCTTGGTTTTTACCACTCTTCATCTCCTGGGTTCTCTTGCCCTCAAGTTGTACATTTTTTTCCTAGGGGGTAGCCATTATCTACTGATGGATCAAGTGTCTCAAATTCTTCAAGATCATGGTCATAATGTGACCATGTTGCAACAAGATGGAATTTCTTTGATTTCAGGTATGTGTGTTTTTCTTACTAATTCCTGGCTTACTTGATCTTATCTCAGGTAACAAGCAGCAAAAACACTTGTTTTGTTTTTTGCTGCAATTTTAGGCTGTGAGAATGAAAAAGCTGTGTGTGTGTGTGTGTGTGTGTGTGTGTGTGTGTGTGTGTGTGTGTGAAGAAATTGGTAGTTTTATAAGGTTCACACACCACATCTCCTTATCTCTCCCGGTTATCTGGATGCCAACTCTATCTCAGGCGACTCCCCACACATTATTTTGGGTCACTTTGATCACTGCCACTTCATTTTGTGGGTCTCAATCATACCAACGATCATGAAGATCGCCCAGGATCACAGGATGGCATGAATCAATGCCAAGTCAATGGTAACTAGCAACAACAGCATGGCTTTAAAATCTACTGAATGTAGGTGTTCAGTTAGGAATGTAACATTCCTAATATGTAAGCATCGGTTCTCTTCCTGTCTCATAGGATACGTTTCCCTCCTGTTATGAGACCTGAATTTAAGAAAATGTTCACTTCTGTACCCTTATTTATGAAGCTAGTTTCTAATCTCTCATTGAATAATTCTTGACATTCCAGTGATTGTCTGTGAGTTTGTATGTAGTGATATTAGAAGAAGTTATTTTTACTGGCATACACTTCACACATATCATACAATTTAATCATTCAATCATATTAGGAAGAGCTGTGCAATCATCTCCATCAATTTCAGAACATGAATATGTCATGCAGTCCCCCAACCTCTTCCCCTCTGAACACCTGGTATTTGGAAATCAGTGATATATTCTATATTTTCTAGAGTTTATATTAAGTGTAAGCAAAAGTTATGTCTATTTTACTCTGGCTTATTCTGCATAGACATTTTGAAATTGATCCATGTTATTTTGTGTAGCTATATAGTTCATTCCTGTTTATTGTTCATTAGCAATGGGTCCACAGGTGACAAAAAGAGGATTTGTGCTGACTACTAACCTATAGGTTCACAATTCAAGACCACCCAGTGGAAACCCACAGGGAGTCGCTGAGTCAGCATTGACGTGATGATTTCTTTACTTTGATATGTCCTTGTTATCCTAATTGATAACATCTGCCTAGAAAAAACTCATTTCCCTCCAAAAAAGGCCACATAGGATTTCAACATATTTGGGGTGGTGGTGGGGATTGAGGAAGAGGTTACAATCTATTACATATGGATACTGTATACCATTAGACAGATAGATAGAATCTATCACATACAGACATACCATTAGATAGATAGATACGATCCATCACATATAGATATACCATTAGATAGACAGATAGAATCCATCACATATAGATATACCATTAGACAGAAAGAATCCATCACATATAGATATACCATTAGATAGAATCCATCACATATAGCTATACCATTAGATAGATACGATCCATCACATATAGATATACCATTAGATAGATAGAATCCATCACATATAGCTATACCATTAGATAGCTA